AGTTTGATGTGACTAAAGTTATACTGTGTTGTTTACATCTTCCCTTTATTTATTTTAATAGGGTCCAGACTGAGGCCAGGAAGTACCTGAAGGAGAAGCAGAGTGTCTGTGATGAGCCTGATGGTCGGAGGAGATGCCTGCCTCAGATCAGCCACCACTGACACCAAACTCTGCTTTTCCTGCTTCTTACTGCAGAGACAGAACTGTTATCACAGCTTTACTTTTCACACAGAAACCAGGCTGGTTATGAAAAACAAACATACTAGAGAAGGGAATGGAAATGGTTTATAAAATCCACCACTTCTTCTTTGCAGAGCTCCAGAAGCCTGTCCTGACCTTCCACTGGGAATATGACCAGAGGGCAGCCATGCTGATCAAACACACCTGGACAGAAACAAGCAGACATGAAGCATCCTTCCTGGAACCATCCCGTGATGGCTGCTAAAAAACTGCAGAGAAGATCCTCAATCAGAGGGCATCATTACCGGGGAACCAGACAGCTCCAGATCCCAGCACATGGCCAGAGGGCAGGGGCCAAGAGGGGCCCCTCTCCTGCACCGGCTCCCGGACGCCTGCAAAGTTTAGTGGGAAGTTAGGAATGCTACTGGAAACCAGCCCGACCAGTTTATCCAGCAGCTCAGTTCTACAGGGAGCTGACAGACCGGCCCAGCGCATTCCACAGATCATCTGCAAACTGTCCGCTGAAAAAGTTGGAGGATGTGAAGCAGGTCACGGCCTGAAGGCACTAACACCTGCCTGCCAGCGGTACCTGCTTCCCGGCGGCTCATGCTGCTGCTGCGATCCTCCGCCTGCTTCAGGAACCTGCTCTGTTTTTAGGGGCCGCTGCTGCTCAGCTGGAGCCGCTCTGTTCGCTTCTCTCCGCCATCTTCCACCCAAACACCGCCGTCCAGCAGATCCCGCTGAGCTGCGAGATGCTGGGTCCGTTTATAGCCAGGGGGTGGAGCTAAACCCCGGGGGGCGGGGACATGGGCAAAGCTGCCAATCATGCGCATGACGTCCTCTGTTCCTGACACACTAGTGTTGTTAATGAAGTGTTTGGAAGCCAAACTATTGATACTGTCTAACAGAATACTGACACCTACTGGACATTTAAAGGCACTACAGGCAGCTGATTGGAATAAACTGAATGGATTTGATGACCTAGAACAGGGGTCTGCAACCTTTCATATCCAAAGAGCCATTTTGCCCAGAGTCCGACCAAGTAAAAGTTGTTTAGAGATGAGTAGTAATTGTTGTTCTAAAAGTAGATGAATTTTTAGAAAAACAATTTGTTTGTTTTTTTATTATCTAGG